CCAGTCTGGACTGGATACAGAACCTGAGGGGGGTTGTCGTTCTGGTCTTCAATATTTATTCTAACTGTGGTATTGCTGCTTAAAGGAGGGGAACCCCCATCCTGTCCTTTTACATAAATGTGTATAGTTTTAATTTGTTCATAGTCAAATGATCGTAGTGCCTGTATAACTCCGCTTTCTGCGTTTACTGATATGTAAGTAGATATAGGACTACCATTTAACTCGGTATCAATAAGCAGGTAAGACAGGCGTGCGTTCTGTCCTGTGTCGGAATCGCGTGCTTTAACGGAAAACACAGACAATCCCGGTGAGTTATTCTCCACAACAGACGCTTCATAATAACTCTGTTCAAATATCGGGGCATTATCATTTACGTCTGCTATTCTAAGTGTTATTGTCTCGTTTGTTGAGAGGGGTGGGCTCCCTTCATCCACTGCCGAGAAAGTGATATTATAAACAGGATTACGCTCCCTGTCGAGCACACCGTTTGTGACCAGAGTATAATAATTTTTTAGAGATGAATGAATTGCGAACGGAATATTGCTGTTTACTGAGCAGTCTACTTTTCCATTTTTGCCTGAATCCAGATCTTTGACGTTTATGATAGCCACGGTAGTCCCACTAGGTGAATCCTCGGCAATAGCATTAGAAAACGAGGTTAGTGTTATTAAAGGAGGATTGTCATTGACGTCTATAACCTCAATTATCACATTGGTTGATGTGCTCTGTCCACCTTGATCTTTTGCCTGTACCCCAATCTCATATAATTTATTCTCTTCATAATCAATTAAACCAGTTACTGTTAAATCGCCGGTATTTTCGTCCAGATGAAATAGTTCGGCAACATTACCGGACATTCGATTAAAATGATAAGTAACATGGCCATTTATGCCTTCATCTGCATCTGTTGCGCTAAATCTCACTACTAACGTTCCTCCTGGGACATTTTCTTTAACAGAAGCCTTGAAAATTGATTGCATGAATACGGGAGCATTGTCGTTTGTGTCTCGCACCGTTACGTGTATTTTTAAGGTGCCTGATCGCTGTGGTTCACCTCCGTCCACAGCAGTTAGCGTGAGGAGCAGCTTTCCTTCTTTCTCTCTATCTAAAGGTTCAGAAAGATAAAGCTGTGCATATTTATGACCATTTGGGCTAGATGAGACCTTTATATTAAAATGTGTTTTGGGGTGTATTGTATAGCCGTGTAAAGCGTTAATGCCAACATCGGGGTCTGTTGCACTCACTTGCAATATTTCGGTTCCTGGAAGAGTTGATTCCAGGATTTCTAAATGCATTTCCTTCTCCTGAAACGCAGGGGCATTGTCATTAACATCCAGTACTTCCACAACAACGCTATGCAGTTGAATTGGATTTGTCATAATCATTTCCAAATTCAAGCTGCAGGGCGATGTCTGTCCACAAAGCTGCTCTCTATCTATTCTCTCTCCCACGACCAGATTTCCTTTGTCTACATCCAGCCTAATATACTCACTGCTGTCACTGATAACAATTCGGGCACCGCCTGATTTCAGTCTTTTAGCGTCGATACCTAAATCTTCAGCCACATTTCCCACAAACGAGCCCTTCCTCATTTCCTCTGGAACAGAGTAGCGGATTTGGCAAATTGTCGCGTCGATGAGAAAAACAAGGATGAAGGCCCGTACTTGCCATTTAACCGTGCGAGCCATCCTGAAAGAATGCATATTTCTCAATCAATTAATCCAAGTCCACATAGAAGAATGTCGACAAAAGGCTTTTAAACTGTCGATATCGTCCTTCTCTCTATGCAGTTGTAATCCACAGTTGGAGACCGAATGTATCCGCCTAAAATCAGTGTCGAAAATAAGCGACTGTCTTGCTCTCCTACTGTATATTTAGAAGAGTACAGAGGGTGTAAAGCTTTTAAATGTGCTGTAAAGACCAACAGCGGCCCTTAGAGTCCAAAGTAAAAATAACAAGTGATGTGAACAAGGAAGGAGAAATAAACTTGTATAGGAGTAACAATTCAGGTGTGAATTAACACTAAAATGAAAACAAAAGATGATGCTTAAATACTTCACGTGAGAACCAGAAAAAGAGTAGTGCAGCACAGTCATGAGTAATACAATTTGAGTCCTCTGTAAAAGAAATAAACTCAAACATATACTCTGATTACAGTAGACATCTTGAGAGTGGTTTGTAGCCGCAAGCAAAATGAATAAAACTTAAAGAAACCACGTACATACTTTAAGGAAATCAACTTTTATATAGTGACTCATGTAACTGAAGTCAAACTGATTAGAAAACAAACTAAAGACTATTAAACTAAATCAATATAATTGACTGAACGTTAATAAAATCAGTGGATCAATAAACTAACCTCTAGAGGAGAGTCTGGTTCATCCAGGATGCTCTTTTCAC